GTTTACCGGGCAGTTCTATTTGACGATATACAGTTCTATTTGACGATATATATATATATCGTCACAAACATATATATATATATATGCCTACAGTTTACCGGGCAGTTCTATTTGACGATATACAGTTCTATTTGACGATATATATATATATATATATATATATATATATATATATATATATATATAGAGAGAGAGAGAGAGAGAGAGAGAGAGAGAGAGATTCACACCATAGAGAGGGGGAGACAGTTACCTACCTAATCGTTGTTGTAGTTGTGAGTGCGGCTCATGCCACAGGGAGATTCAAACATGTTCATTCAACTTCATCGCATAATATAATAATTTTGGACAATTCTTTGGTGTGCTGATCCTGGTTTCAGCTCTTGGCCTCGTGTGTGACCTCTCACGCAATGTTCTGTTCTGGATGTGCGAGTATCACTGTTGAATTTTGCGAGGTTCGTTCCATTTGCAAGAAGAAAAATAGAATAGCACCTTGGCTGTTCTGATAGAAAGCAGCAGCAGCAGCAGCAGCAGCAGAATAATAATAATAATACTAATAATACTAATAATACTAATACTACTACTACTACTACTACTACTAATAATAATGATAATAATAATAATGATGATAATGATAATAATAATAATAATTATAAGAAGTTTCTAGTGAAGGAGGTTTAAGTTTTTAGAGGAAGAATAACACTTTACAGGAAGAAGAAGAGGAAGGAGGAGGAGGAGGAGGAGGAGGAGAAGAAGAAGAAGAAGAAGAAGAAGAAGAAGAAGCAGAGCTGCACCTTAGCTAGGGGTATGTGACAACTAATGGGAGATAGAAGTGTATGTGTTAAGAACTGTAACAAAAAAAAACATCCCCTTTCAGGTGCTTTAACTCTCCTAGCGACGTGCTCCCCATCTTCGTGTTTTTTTTCTTTCCTTTTCTTTTCTGTTTTTGTTTTGGTTTCCCCAGTTTTCCCTCTTTTTGGATAAGGGTTCTGTTGAGCAGTGCACCCAAGTCATAATCAGAGCTAGAATGCCCGGTCATAATAGCCGTATTTGGTGCAATTTTCAGCCCAGATACGGCTATAATGACCGGGCGTTCTATTCGGGTGAAGACAGTAGATCTCTAACTGCTGCTGCTGCCCCTGTTTTTTATTAATTGGTTGTGCACTGATGTTGACAGATTAGCCACTGCTTCAGGGCTAGGTGTGATGGTGGGTCCGGCGTTGGGAGGGCTGCTATTTCAGGTGGGTGGGAGTCGACGGCTTCTTTTCCAAGATTGCATCCTTTTTATGCGATTATCAAACCCCAATGATAAATTTGTCAGCGGTTCATAATTTTGCTGTTTGACCTTTGAAGCTGGGTAGCACCGCGTACGTGTACGCGTACGTGCTCGAAAATACGCGTACGCGTACGTTTTTTTTTTTTTTTTTTTTAAATATAAAAATATATATAATATGTAAAAAATAATAACATATATATGTTATTACAACTTATTACTTCATTCTATGCTTTTCTGCTGGTAAATAAGACTGCTGAAAGTTCATGGTAGGTGGCACTACTTCRTGTWGGGGCCCAGSGGTAACGGACTTTACCTATYATKTGYCCCTTTGGGGCCTCACCGCTGGTATGATGGCGGTCTCGAACCGAAGGTGYGCCCGCCCTGAGTGAAGGCGGACCTGGAAATCACCTAAGGCTAAGGGCTTTGTTTGTCAGTTTTGCACGTCTGTGCCAGACAGTTGCAGCACGGCAGTCGGTTACAGGGCAACGTGAGCCTCTCAGGCTCTTTTCGGAAGCTGCAGGGCGAAGGGTTGTTCAGTCAAGTAAGACGAGAGAGTGCTGGACACTGCATTTCAGTTCGTTGTTGTCGTCTTACTTGGCTGAATCTCGGTGGTCATTGCTTGTGACTTCGTACATGACTAGCAGGTGTGTATTGTGTGTGTGGTTTCTGGATTTGTGAATGTAGCTCTCGCTGATTTCCCTGGCACTGATATGCACGCACACACACACAGTCACACAGACAGACAGTCACACAGTCAGATAGAGAAACAGGGTGGCAGACAGACAGTCCTGGTGTCACACAAACAAACCGATACTGTGACCACTGCATACACAATTGAAGTGCGTGAGACGCAGACGAGCACACAGGGTGGCAGATTGGCAGAAAGAGAAACAGGGAGGGTGAAGTGTGACAGACAGACAAATAGACAGGTCTACTTGTCTGTCTGTCACACTGTCACCCTCCATGTTTCTCTTTCTGTCAATCTGCCACCCTGTGTGCTCGTCTGCGTGTCACTCACTTCAACTGTGTATGTCAGTGGTCACCCATTGTGTGTTAGTTGTCACCCCTGCTGTACGCTGTAAACAGACAGGCAGACAGACAATCTGATATGATGACAGTGTGACAGGCATACAAACATTGTGACACACAATGTGCTAGAGTGACAGAGTCAGACAGACATGCAGACAGGCAGGGCAACAGACATACAGGGTGGAAAAGTGAGTAGAAGAGAAACAGGGAGGGTGACAGTGAAACAGACTGTGACAGAGTGACAGAGTGACAGAGTCAGACAGACATACAGACAGGCAGGGCAACTGACAGACGGAAAGACGGAAAGAGGGACAGACAGACTGACATACAGACTGACAGACAGACAGACAGATGAGTATATCGCAGTGGAAGTCTGAAATGTGGACTGACTCACATGGACCGACTCACGCAAACAACACTCAAATCCAAGCATTCGTGCGGGAGGTGGGATCTGGGGCATACATAGAAGAAAGCCAGATCCTGTACAAGTCATCCACGGACGAAAGGGGGAGATGAGAAAAGGAGGTGGGAAGAGGGAGATAGTGTCACTGCAAGATGTCCAAATTAGAATCCCGAATGTCGCCAGTAAGGTAACCTCAAAATGTCACCGACATACAACAATGTCGCCGGTAACAGTCACCGAAAGGGTGACATTCTCGCCAATCCCAACTCCTGTCTGATCCGCAATGTCACCGACATCAATCCCAATATCCCTCGCTACCCCATCCCGCTGAATACCAATCCTCTCCGCTGCTGAAGTCGGATCCTACAGACATGCACACAAACGGACAGACTGACATACTAACAGACAGGCAGACTGACAGACGGACAGACTGACAGACTGACAGACTGACGGACTGACAGACAGGCAGACTGATAGACATACAGACTGACATACAGACTGACAGACAGACATGCACACAAACGAAGATAACCAGCAGCAGCAGAGACGGACACAAACACCGAGAGGCTAACAAACAGACAGACAGACACACATGGACACAAAACAAAGACAGACGTTGTCGGGCAGACAAAAGAGCAGGCTCAGCAGGGCAACAGACGGACGGAGACAAGGAGAAAAAATCCGACAGAGTAACACACACACACACACACACACACACACACACACACACACACACACACACACACACACACATGCACACACACACACACACACACACGCACACATAGTGGCATGGCAAACTTGCTTTGCCATTCAAACGAGGGAGGCCACCATCGGACAATCATAGCGGAAGGTCACAATCGAGTCCGATGGAGAAGCGGTGGGCTCTCTCTCTCTCTCTCTCTCTCTCTCTCTCTCTCTCTCTCTCTCTCTCTCTCTCTCTCTCTCTCTCTCTCTCTCACTCTACGTGCCCTCCCCCTTCACCCGGCGTCGCCTTCCGTCTTTTTGATCTATGCAAAGGCTGATCCTCGTCTGATTCCTCTTCCTCCGCCTCCTCCCCATTACCGCCTTCCTCCTCATCACCCCTCTCCTTTGCCTTTTCAGGGGCAGAACGGGGTCGCCCCCTCCCTTTGGAGGAGCTCAAAGAGGGACGCCCTCTTCCTCTCGAGGAAGCTGAAGGAGGACGCCCTCTGGATCTCCCTCTGGCAGATGGTGCACCTCGCCGACCTCCTCTACCCCCACGTGGAGGTCGATAACTGAGAGGATCCCACGTGCCACCGACATCGGCCCCCAGTCGCCCGAGCAGTTGTGGTGCTCTGCTCGGACCGTAGAATTGATGCGGCTGCTGCCACCGCCCCTGCTGGTCTCGCTGCTGGTCTTGCTGCTGCTCCTTCTCTTGCTGCTGCTCGAGGATCCAAAAGTCGGGCCATAGCATGAACCGGGCTAAGCAGCATATCCGTCCTCTTCCCCACATCATACAAGATGCTGGCCCGCTCAGCATCTGTGAGTGTCGCCTCCGCAACGCAGTTCTTCAGCTTCACAGCGGCATCGTACACCCGCGACAGGCAGTGGATGTCCTTGTCTACCATCCTCAACACGTCGTACGGTCCCTTCAACACAGAATGCAACTTTTTCAAGTCATCCCAGAACGCCCTATCTGTGATAATGGAGTCAACATCACAGGCATCCCTCTGAATGTATGGCTGCCAATCCATGTCCGTCCACGAGTCCCCCAACGGCAGGCGACGAAGGGCTCTCTCGCACGTCAGGAGTCGATCCAGCATGACGAAGTGGGTCCCGAACCTCGTCAACGCAGGACGTAGGAGAACTCTGACCTTCACGCCCTTTTGTGCGGTGAGCTCCGTCCTCAACACAGACCGTGGCCACCTGTGGTTCCTGAAGAACTTGACCACCTTATTCGCCTGCTTGATGATGTCTGCAGCCCACGGCTTGCTGCCCACATCCTGCATGAAGAGGTCCATGCAATGTGCAGTGCACGGGATCCAGTAAATCTGTTGGAATTTTGGATCCTCCCTCAACAGGGTGGCTGCACTCTTGTTGCCAGAAAACGAGTCTGTGCAGATGGCGGTTATCTTGTCCACCCCGATCTCCCTGAAGAATCTCTTCCATCCCTGAACAACTGCAGGAGCGTCCTTGTCCTGGTCACTGGCATCCTCGCACTTGATGAACAATGGCTTCGACCGCCCTGCGAGGATGTAATTCACCAAAGATCGGCCACAGATGTCTGTCGTGCCGTCCGTGATGAACGTGCACCCCGTGACCTCCCAATCATCCCTAATGGCACGCTCCTCGTCGTTAAACTTTCGCTGCAAGCCATCCAGAAGAACACACCTCAGAGGGTTGTAGCCAGTGGGGATAAGCGGATGCTTGCCAACAGGCTGCGGTCCGAAACATGCGTTCACAAACTTCTTGTAAGACTTGCTCTTCGCGACGTTGAAGGGGATTGCATTCTCAACAAAGAACTCGATGCAGGTCTCGTCAATCTCCTTCTGGCGCGGATTTTTCGCCCACCTGGCGATGGAAGTCTGCTTCGCGTCTCCTCTCCTGCCGAGAAGTGCTTGCGGTGCATCGCCACGGCAAGGGTTTGCTCCCCCGTCACGTGCACCTCGCACAACGACACCCCTTCCACCAACATTCTCCACCGCACTCCCTGGCTGAGGTCGTGACTGTCCGACCCTCCCCGGTTCTGCATCTGCCTCTTCGTTGTCACCTGCCGCGACCTCTCCTCCCTCCAAACCACCTTCAACGTTGCTGTCCTCTTCCTCTGGTCGCTGCACCAAATCCAACAAGTCAGGGGGCAATTTCGCCCCCACAGCATGCAGCCTCCTCCAGATTGAGAGTGTCCCGTGAGGGCAACGCGCAGTCTTTCTCTCCCAAATGAAGTGATCGACTGCACGCGGTTGCCCCCCCACAAACTCACGGCCACACAGCCTGCATCTGAGGCGGCGCCCCCCCCGAGTTCTGTCCTTCAACTTCTGACCCGGCGCCACCCATGTCCACACACAGAAATTGCCCCGGAACGCGGTATCCTCCACGAACGGCCCCCTCTCTGCATTCGACTGATCCACACCCCCATCTCCTCCTGAACTGCCAGTTGCCATGACAAGGATGGCGCAATTACCGAATCGGGTCCTGCTGACAAGCTTGTTGCAGCTATTCCACTTGATTGAATCGGGTCCTGCTGACGTCGCTTGCTGACTAGACACCTGCCCATGCACATAGACTCAGGGACGCAGACAAATCAGCATATGAAGTTCACAAAAAGGAAATAGGAGGAATGCTCAGGGTACGTATACTGGGCAGAAAGACTGGGTACGTATGCTCTCATCCGCCCCGACCAGAAAGACTGGGTTGAGCGACTGCCGGACGTTGAGTTGGCCTACAACTCTTCCATCCACCCGGCTGTTGGGATATCACCCTTCGAGTTCGAGCACGGCTCGCCGGTCACGTCACCGTTGGACACGATTACTCCACGCACGGCCGAGAGCGACGACCATCTTCTTTTCTTGCGT